CTTTCGATACCCCCTACCCTCACCCCCATCTAACTCCCATCTTTTTATGGGGGTGAGACCGCCACGAACTTTTTATGGTACAGTGGTGGGGGAGACGTCCTCCTTCGATCCCACCCACCCCCACCCCCGAAGGCCATCATCTGGACCTTTACCGAATTTTCAATAAATTATCAATTTTCGAAAATTAGTGGTCATTCTGTGTTGTGTGATTCAGTACATAAATGTGCGTAATAGTGATAATCGTCTGTCTTGAAGGCATTACCTACAATTCTTCTGGGGAAGGACGGGCTTTTTGGCTTTGTGAAGAGGTTCCTTGTTATTGTGTTTCTTTTATGCCAACAACAATGATCCAGAAAAAGCATTCCCGCGTTCGTCTTGACACGTAACGGCGGTCGAGAATAAAAAGAAAAGAATAAACTCACGCATAATTTCGGCAATAAAATAAAAATGATAAATTCCGTCGAAAAGAAAAGGAACCGGCAACGTCATTTACAAGAGTAGTTTGTGCTCTCGCCATATAATGCAACAAAAGAGGCAGAAGCCCACCAAATACATTTTGAAAACCCTTAACACAAAATTATTCTTTGTATTTGGGGAACAAGAGTCGGAGTAGAGTTACTAATAAAAAGCCAAATGAATCCTTTGAAAAATCGCATAAAATTATTGTTCGATGTCAATTACGAACTCTAAATGTCCGTTTAACTTCAAGGGCTCTTTGAATGGATGATATATCAAGAACTAATAGAATAAAAAAGGCCTAGCATGACACTGGTGACAAAATGTCTGTTTCATTCGCCTTTCCATCACAAATATTGCTGACATAATCACTATCGAGGCTCCCCCCGTACCGCATGTTATCAAAAATAAGCAAAGTAAAGGCTCCTCACCCCTTTGGTGCTTACGTAATACTTAAATAATCCTTAAAGATGGGGTTAACGGCAAATTCCACGCAAAACTGTCTACATTAAAATGAGGTAGACAATGACATACTGATAGACGAAATAGAAATGCGATCGTGTAAAACATTCTATTTACCAATCGATCATTCCGTAGTGCACGGATAACTGATAACTTATACCTTGAGATCCCTAATGTGCAATATAAATGCCTATACTAAAATGTTTTTCTCTTTTCTAACAAAATCGACGCATATGAACTGTGTCCTTAAGTACCAGCGCTCATAAAAATTAAGTATGACTTAAGAAATCAAAAATTTTCAAAGAAGAATGTCTTTTTTGTTGTTTCTCGTTGGGTTCCTTTGAACATGCTAGATGTCACCAAAGATATTTTCAAAAACATGATAACAGTTTAAATTTTTTTAGTAGATTTCCCATGAAGTAGACGCTTGATAAAATAAATAGAAAAACCCTTTGCCCTGCAGGAATAGTAACAGTAAGATGAAAATTATGAAGTATAAGAATGAAGTAGATGTAGTCAATTATACAGTGGAATTCGTTGATTATGACTCCGCCTATATAGAGAACCACTTAATATGAAGTAATTGCAGTGTTAAGTTTGGTTTTCATATTAAATTCTCTATAGGAAAGTTTGTATGTAATGACTCCGTTTAAAATGACATATCGTTTATTATGACTGATTCTCAAGAAATCATATCCGGCTGTAGTGACCGAAATGATTAATAATAACATTTTCGGTCATTTTCCTGACCCTTCTTATGTATATTGATATTACAATTCATAGTTCTTTATCTTTTTCTGTTATTAAATACATACATTTGTAGTTTTTCTCTCAATTAAACTAAATAACTAACCAAAATAGAAACCTGTTTATTTTCTAAGACTTTACTTAGTATGACTTCCGCTTAGTATGACGTGTTTGCCTTTTCCTTCGATGTCATTATAAGCGGATTCTTCTGTGCCTTAAAAAACTTTAACAACATTTCAGTTGGGTTAGGCTTGTGACACGTTTTGTGTATATTAAAATGGTGTTTTAAGTACTAAAGTTCCTTCTTACAGCTCATAACGAGTAATAATGACGATGGTTTTGCTATATGCAGTTCTGAGGGACATCATGGGCAGGACAAAAACGGGGTCGAGGACGAAACAAACCCATTACGTATTATGATAAATCGGAACAAGTTGTAAATTATTCTCGGTCATGTACACATCAGCAACAGTTCGCTGAATTAATGCAAGAACGTCGGTCGGCGCTTGCGAACTTTGATTTACATCGTGCAAAGGGCGGACTGGTGGCGTTGCTCGAATGTGCCCCTGTCGTCGTCGATGTTGGAAAAGATGGTGACGACAGCGCGATTCTGGCAGTAGAAGTGGTGCGGCGGTTAATCGGTAGCACTCACGGGGTCACGGGACGCTATCAGCGAGTAACGAACGCGGCTTGTTGCAAATTATGTCGGTAACTTCTTCTTATAAACTTGCCGCTTCTGGTGACATTAAAAGGTGGTAGTCTCGCCGAAGCGTTTGGCTACAATAAAATGTTATGGAATTTTGCATATAACTTATTTATATCGTCGTTTACAACATACCTACCAATATTTAAAGTGTCTCAACGGTATAGATTTGGAGATAAGAAGAGTTATGGAGCCTCTAATATAGAAAAATTAAACAAAATAATTCGAAGTGGTCTGTATTCTGTCGAAACTGCCAGACGCAGATCGCGATTTCGATCTTTTTGGATCTCATCAGCGCGTCGCAGGCAGCCCAACAGAACACAGACCAACCTTTACCTGCTGTCTTAACAGCGCGTTTTTGAAAATACCACAAACGGCGTGAAAAAAATTATTTAAAAATATGGACCTTGTTGGAGCATACGTAATCCTCAAATGTAGCATCGTACTACAGATAGCGCTCACCACGCCGTTTGTGGTATTTTCGAAAAATTAAGTTAACTTTCATAATAATGACTAACCACTTCACAGAAATATTGGCTGTGTAGATTTTTGCTTAAACACCTTATTCATTTAGAAAATACTACAAATGGCGCAGTAAACGCCATCTGTAGCACGATGCTACATTTTAGGATTAGGATTAGGATTAGGAACCTTATTCATGTTTAATTGATCGTACGTACCTATAAACACTCTTGAATGTATGAATCTTGCCTTGGATTATGCACTGACAAAACTCCACCTGTTCATTGAATTTTAAAGCTCCTGTTGCATATGGTCCCTAATATTCACTCTTTCTGTTTGTGCTTACTGAAAGTGATAAGTGTCTTGACAAATTTTTACCTTAATAAAGACCATTAAATGAGAGCACTCTCATTGCGGCATGTGGAAACTTTTTAGCTTGAATGTAGAGAGGTAGTTGAGTAACATGAATCTTGACCCTAGAGTATGCACTGACAACTCCACCCCTTCATTGAATTCTAAAGTTCCTGTTACATGGTTCCGTATAACGGGTTCGGCCCGTCCTATGGCTCCTTTTCACGGCGGCAGCGGACACATGGAATGCAAATGCTCCGTGTAAAGGGGTCGCATTGTATCCAAAGCTGCTAAGGATGTGCGATTTCTAATAGGATCTCTCCTTTTAAGGGTGTTTGGGAGGTACAATCGGAGACAAGAGTACATAAAATTAGAAATTCGTGATTAATTAGGTTTTGCAGCATATCATGAGGTAAATAAATACTATCTATACTAAAAAAAAGTATACGGTTTGAGAGAAAATTTGGAATTTGACCAAAAACTTTGAATAAAATAAGAAATAACGAATAATATGGAAAATTTTTAACTGACTTTTGGCAGTGAATATGCCTTGATTTCAACTTCGAAACAAAAAAATATTTAGTTTCAATCTCTATTAATAATGAGCGTAAAACTTTTTAATATGTTTAAATAATAATTAAAACTTTAAAATTGCATTTATTTCAGACAATTATAAATATTATCATTATATTATCAAGTAAAAACGAGATTTTCAGCTAATTTTTCATTTTTTCCTCGATAACCATTTAGTGAATTTGAATAACCTTACGCTAAAGTGATTCTCCAGAGTTCAAGTTACTTATTATAAAAGTTTGAAATTTCTGGTAGCTTTTTTTCTGTTAATAAAAATAAATTTAATCTGTTCGGTTAACGAATCTCCATAAAATGACGTGTAAAATTACAATTTTTTAAAATTTCAATAACTTTTTAACGGTTTAGTGAATCGATTTGTAATTTTTACAGGAGTTTTAGAATTGAATGAGGAACGTTCTTCCAAATTTTTATTTGTCTCGTATCATTTTGACAAACCTCCCAAACATCCTTAAGTTTGGACAGTCCGTTACAGTCCATGATCTCAAATATACCTTACTCTCTCTTTCTATCTCTGATAAGCTAATCGAACTTCGGGTTCTTTCTGGGTCATGTTCAATTGTCGTTGTATTAATTTTTAGGGTTATATCTAAATGGATCATTTCCTTGCCCATCTGTTTATACGTCAGGACCCTTATTTTCAGGAACAGCGTGGAGATATCAAGTTACAATTAATATCAAATAATCAGATCTACAATCCCTTAAAACTGTGAAGGAATCAAACTTGTAGAATCATAAAAAATGGCAAGAATTAATGTCTTATAGCACAAATAAGGGGAAAGACTTGGAAACCGTAAAATTGTAATAATGTAATTATACGTCTTATGGACTAATTTTGGGGGGAAACTTCAAACACACGAAAACACCGGACAAATTTTTGATAAATTGACTATTCAATTCCTCCCTCGTTTTATTGTGTTTGATTATAACAGGAACATTACCAAATATTGTGTATTAATTGTATGTTCATTGTTTGTTGTAGTGCCCAATGCAGGAGGTGGGAGTGATACGATGTCGCGGCAGCGGGGTGGCCACGTGCCTTTGTACGGACGCTTGGTGGCGGAAGAACAGCTCGTCGCCGGCCACCCCCTGGCCGCTGCAGGGGCCGTCCCGACTGACATCCAGGCCATGCAAGCAAGGATACCCAACACCTTTCGGGACCCTGCGGCCGCGCCACTTCGGAAGCTTAGCGTCGACCTCATCAAGACTTACAAGCACATTAATGAGGTAAGTGGTCCACTTTTAATTGCGAACTCGCATTACAAAACTGGTCAATAGCTTTTAAGTAGGTAGTTGGATAAGTACATAGTAACTATCCCTTTAACAGATAAGTAAACTGGGCATTGAATTAATATGAGGCAAAATAAATATTTGTTCTGGTGGAAAATTAACTGGCTATCTCCTGTAAGGAACTATGTTTAAATAGATAATACTAACCGATAAATACACCACAAAGATCACCTTGGAGTCACTTAATGATATTGTGGGCTCTGGAAGGGTCGAGGGGTCTGGTAATAGACAGTTATGAACTATATGCGGAGGGGGGTTAATAGTTGAACAATGAGCAACGTTATTTTTGTTGTGAAATAAATGAAAATTTTTGTATTTTTGGTGTGCCTAATTTTTAGTTAAAGTAGGTAAGTTATGGACAGAAAAAGGAGAAGTAAATAAAACTTTCTTTCTAATCTAATCCGACCACCAAGGCGGCAAACTCAAATAAGGGTCACTATAACTTCAAGAATGTTAAAAAGGTCACGTTGTTCTAGAGGGTGGAGAGCTCAAAGTAGATAAAATGAATACAATCTACATGTTGTATGGTGTATGAACAGCCCCAAATAATACAAAATATAATAATTCGAATAAAATAATTCGAAATGGTCTGTATTCTGTCGAAACTGCCAGACGCGGATCGCCATTTCGATCTTTTTGCATCTCATCAGCGCGTCGCAAACAGCTCCGACAGAACACAGACCAACTTTTACCTGCTGTCTTAACAGTGCATTTTATAGAAAATACTACAAATGGCGCAGTAAACGCCATCTGTAGCACGATGCTACATTTTAGGGTTACGTATGCTCCAACAAGGTCCACTTGTGTGAATATCTACTTGCTGAAAACGAATCCCGGCGTAGCCAACCTCAACGTGATAGGCACGTTAGCTTAATTGAATAAATAACTAAGCTGTAGTATTTTCTAATACAAAATATAGTTAGTTAACCTATGATATTCACTTAAATCAGAGTTTTTAAACCTCTCAGGGGTGCCTGGGTGCTGAGAACCGCCATTTAAAGAAGTTATTTTTATCCTTAGTCCGATCACTACAAAAATGTTAAGAAACCCTTAATTAAAGGTTGATATCATACAATTTACAGAAAGAGTATTTATTTAGTGGATTGGGGGTGATCACAAGAGTCCTGATTTTTATACGTATATTAGATTGTCACATTACTTATTTAACAGTGCCAGTCTCTTATTGCTATTAAATTTCTTAATTAAATTAAGAGTTAACATGCACACATTTAAGCGTTAACCTTTTGAGGTAAATAGCCAATATTAGGCATTTCTCCGAAAAGTGCCTTAATGCGCTGATATCCACTTACCGTGCAATTCTCCACAATATTATCTACAGCGTCAGTAACTTCCTGGTTGTTCTCCAAATTTTTGTTCTCCAAATTATGTTTTCATTTGTATAAATACACCAGGTAGATGATATAGAAGTATTAGCATCTGGTAAAAAGGAGTTAGAGATAGAGGCACAGCTAGATAGATTAGATTACTGTTCACAAATAGTTAAGGATTAAGAAGATTAAGGATAGGAAAGAGTGAAGGTGCGTGTCTAACCAGTCCTAGGACTGACTCATGATGATGATGATGATGAGACACCAAGCATTAAATCGGTTGAGGTAACAATTCGAACTCGTTCTGGCGCATTTCTAGTTTTATCTTTTCTTTATCACTGAAACGCTGTAGTACGTGCATCATTGATAGTTTTACCCTTGTGGCGTGTAATTAATAAAGACAATTTTTTCTGTGTCCCAGGAAATTTAGTTGTCATAATAACCTTTTCGCTGATGAAATTGTTTTGACTTCTTTGGTGTTATTTTTTCACCTGACCCTGTTCACTGTTTTAAGTGCTGTTCTTCAAGTATTTCAAGTGGAAGTAATAATTGCACGCTTTTCCAATTTATTAATTTTTAAAAAATGCCAGAGGCCTTTTCCTTTATAGTTTGTCAAACCTTTACTAGTTTACAGACCTAAAATACAGTCTTTTAGAATTTTAGTGCAAAAGACTTGTCAAATGGAGATCTATTGATCTAACCTAATCACTACATTCTCTAGATCTTTAGAAATCCCAGATAGAAGAAGATAGCGACATGGCTTAAAGGTTTCGACCATTGCTTAGTATTCGGGAGGGCACCAATTCAATTTCGGGTCAGTCGGCCTTGTAGGTAGTCGTCAAAATTAGATACTACATATATATGTGTCATTTTATGGAACTAGTAAAAGTTTAATTAATGCAAACAAATAATGTTCAAATATTCGCATTTTAAAATGGATCCTTGAAAACATCATTATTAGCATTCTCTCCAACTCTCCCTACTTATCACGTATTTGTAGTATAGTCCTTGCGAGGAACGTTTTTCTTACCTACTTCAATCACCCTCACTAGACAAACGTCCTCATTAACTTACACCCTATCATTAGTCGAAGGGGAGAAAAAAACGAGTAAGGACTTTTCCACGCGCGAATGCTCCAAGCAAATTTCTAGATTATCCTAACGTTACAATTATTGTTATAATAATTTTGCAACGTTTCTGAGAGTTTTTGCTAGACTTAAAAATAAGTTTGTGCAAGCTTTCACTTAAACTTGAAAATATAACTTCTATATTGTTTAAACGATTTAAATTTCGGAAAAATTAGCGAACGTCAGAGAATAAGAACTAAGTACTTGAATTTGAATAATGTTCTGTTTGACAGTAAACTAAATTTAATAATAATAAAATAAGTCTACAAAAAGTAATAATAAATAGATAAGAACGAGGTCTATAATCTGTAAAATTTCAAAGCGAAAATTTAATTAACTTAAATCTAAAAATATCAAATCGCCACAACAATCAGTTTTTATTACTCCTAGTCCCTTTCAATTTTTCGACCAGGAACAAAAAATGAAAACGACTTTTGCGCTGGTGCTAAATCTAAACGCCGAAAAAGATTGTGTGGCCACAAAATCAACATAGTATTTTCAAAAGAGGCTGTCTTAAGAATTGCATTTGCAATGATAGTGACAGTTATGATTTTTCAAATGTACGAATTATCTTGACAATTTATACTCATTTTATTAACGAGAAACAAGTAGATAGAACTGTCTATATCTAAAGGTAAAAAGTTACATAGATATGACAGGGATGAGTCCAGGGGGTACGGCGGATAATCGCACCCACTGTACCTCACCCTGGAAATATTAATTAATACGAATATTCAAGAATCAATTACTTTAGGAATGTGGCGGTCTCCACTGTAATGACAATTCATTTACCTACTGAAAATCAAAATTTAAAGCACCTATAATATTATATATTTCTGACTTCGTATTAGGTAGTAAAACAATTGCGTAAAATAATTACAACTTATTGTCGTTAATCAATAAAACCTCTTACTAGGGCTCGAAATTGTATTCGAATTATTCGAATATTCAAATATTTGATTATTCAAATTCAATTTTTTTTTATCAAGTGGTTATTTTGAAATAAAAACTATATCAATATTTCAGATATTCAAATATCTAATCGAATATTTGGGTATTCAAAAATTTGATTTATTGAATGTACGTTTGTTCCAATAAGTACCTATTATTAGGGAGGTTCGCTGAAAGAGTGATTGAGGAGTCCAAAAAGGTGAAATTCTGACTGACGTATTTTATATACGACCATACGATCCTTTAATCGAATATTTATGAATATTCCCATCAAAATATAAACAAATATTTGAATTGAATTGAATATTTTATGGTCATTTTCCTACTGTGTATTTCCCTGTGTTATTGTTTTCCAACGTTCTAACCTTATAGTCGATTTCTGTTCTGCACATAGTTAAATTTTTGTCAGATTTCATTGCCTTCACCACCATCTTCATTGTTAAGTCACCTCTTCCTGTTTCCTGTTTCTAATAAGATTGAGTATGTTGATGTGTTAGGTCTGTTCAACTTCCTAACCCATCTTCTCCAGTTCCTCAATTTTTTTCCGTTACCAGATTCAGCTTCATACGATACGACACTTTGTATTTTAACACCAAAACAAACTGTTGTGATATCAGATAAGTAGTCTGCATATACATATTAATAGTAATACTATAGATCGCAATATAATTAATTGTCTGTTATGGAGTAGTTAGTTCCGTTTGCTAGAAAGTCAGAGATCGTTTCCGTGTGCTTTTCCTTGGTATCTGTTATGTACCATAATTTACCGCCTACATATGTACATAATAATGGACAGTAAAATTTACCGTATGTATCTTTATGGATTTAGAAAAGTTCAGTGTCACACAGTTGTTTCGATAGCAGACAGAGTGGAAATGCGGCAAAACTATGCAGTTGCAATAGTTCATATCAGCGGCACAATAAAACAAAACTGTCGCGTCTATTCGTCTATTCGCGATAGTAAACAAAATTCTATTAACTGACAAATCGGAGGCGATAAATCCCGATGAGGAAATTCAATTTTCTTCGTCCGGTAACGAATGGACAGAAAGATTAGAGAACTGCTTCGTCACAGAACCATTATAAGCAAAGATGTCTGAACAAATGATCTGTTTATCTCAAATTATGAATTCCACCGATTCTGAGTTCGTAAGACAGCTTTTGAATTGTTAAAACGGTTGTACATATAAAATATGAAAAATAAATATAGGATGTATGCAGAATCTTTGCCTGTTTCACCCGATTGATATGAAAAATAACCATAAAAAATTATCATTGTATTACATCTGACACAGCCAGCCTAATTTAGTCAGGCTGTACGATCTACACACCTGCAAAAAAAAAATGACAAATTGAACCACAAAAAAGCATCTGGTCGTATTAATAAAAGAAGCAGGGTTGTAATCTGTTTGCCTTAGATGACATACTCCTTGGGACAAGTCCGTAAATCAGAGAATTGCTGGAGAAATACAAACCAAAAGGAATTCCATTCTTACTTTAATTAATTACTTACTCGATTACGTGAAGTAGT